GAATAATGGGATTGACCGTCACATTATAACGCCCCCACGGCTGAAAGGGCGAGCATGCTTGGTGGGACGGGGATTCGAACCCGCGACCCTCAGATTGCGAGTCGAGCGCCTTAACCACCTGGCCATGCCAGGCCTAACCAAATTGCTTCGGAATCATACAAACTTTTATCAACTTATATTCACTATGTTTGAGTTATTTGATACTTGGGACAATATTTGTGCCTGATTGCATATAGAGGTTACAGCTATAAGGACAGCTATAAGTTTATAGGGACTCAGCAGATAGCCCAATTCGGCTTTGCTCTAAAACAAATAAACAAACATTCATAGAAATGTATAATGTTTGCTTTTATGAAAATGTCAAACAGATCTACAACGGGTTTTAAACATTTCCTGTAAAAACGTTCTCCAACATATGCATGTAAACTTTAATTATTAAATAAGATTCATTTTTAAAGGTCTATTATATATATTTTGACGGAGTTCTTGTTATTTGTTGAATTTCGCTCAAGTCTACTCGAGGTCTATCTGCTGTAGCCGTCCCTAATTCAGTTTGTTTGTTGGCGTTGAATTTCGCGCAAAGCTACACGAGGACTGTCTGCGCTAGCCGTCCCTAACTTAGCGGTGTAAGACTAGAGGGAAGGCAGCTAATCATCACCACACACCGCCAACTCTTGGGCTATTCTTTTACCAACGAATAGTGGTATTGACCGTCACATTATAACGCCCCCACGGCTGAAAGGGCAAGAATTTTGGTGGGACGGGGATTCGAACCTGCAACCCTCAGATTGCGAGTCAAGCGCCCTAACCACCTGGCCATGCCAAGCCCCTAATTTTGAAGTGACAGATTAGAGGGACGGCAGCAAGTCAACATCATTCACAGTTAAATCGTGGTCTACTCTAACCGATTAACGGATTTTGACCATCACTCCTATAACGTACCATCGGCCTCAAAGTACAGAGCGTATTTTTGCAGCAAAGGGACACGAACCATAAACATTCGGATTGACAATCCGAGGTCGCTAACTACAAGCCACGTCCGGCCCGTTTTTGTATCTGAAAAATATTATAATGGATGGCAAAGCCTGTACCATAAGCCATAGTACAACACGTGCTTTAGATAAGCTACCTTATTAACTTAATGTGTATTTTAGTTTGATTCTATTGTAATTCGCAAAATGTTACAA